AGCAACCAACACCGCAATAGGACACACCTACCCTACAGAAGTTGGTGTCCAACATGCGTACAAGCAAGAGGCAGACAGAACAATCACCCAAAGCAACACAGCAAGCTTCCAATCACACAGCTTGACTTCGGCTACAGCAAGGGCTTTGACCACAGCAATTGACATCCAATCAGGGATGATCATGGCCGTACACCTGACCAACAAGACGATGCTCTTCGACTATGCTCACACAGCTACAGCACTTCCTCATTGAATTTGGAAGAACATCACACTCCACACTACAATCAGATCAGGAAGACTTCCTGACAGCACTGATCACAGCACTGGCCAACAAGAACGGCAACATCACCACAAGGAACTCTGGAGCATACAGCTCACAATCACAAGGTGGAGTAGAACGAGCGCACAGGACATTGTTTGCACAAATCAGAACATCATGAACAGATTTGCGACCCACAGCAATGGATGCACAAGCTACTTCGACAAATAGAACAGAGAGCAACATACACCACTTCGCGAGTTTGGTGAGACAGTGCAGTACATGCTACCAACAGTGAAACAATTTCCAAAACTCGAGCCAAGGTTCTACAACGGGATCTGGCTTGGCAAGGATACAACTACAGGCGAGCCCCTCATTGGGACCTACAACAAGATTGTCAGAGCAAGGACAATGAGAAGGCAGATAATGCCTCACAAATACAATCAGCAACTACTGGACTGTGTACACACAGGTCCATGGAAGACACCAGCATCGGCACTGCCTACACCTACTCTCACAACACCAGCTACAATGCCAGCAGCAAGCAAAGCACTCACATCTCAGAAGGATGCAGCAACAAGCACAGCAGCAGAAGGCAAGAGACAGAGCACATCACAATCGAGTGATCAGCGCACAAAGCAGAAGAAGACAGCAGAGCCAAAATCACCAATGGCTACATCACCAACACATCAGAAAGGACCGGCGTTGCCAGCACCACCGCCTACATCGCACAGGAGAAAGAGATGACACAATAGCAGAAGGCAGCACAGACAAGCAACAGCGCACCACAGCAGACAGACAAGCGCTGGAGCGGCCTACAACAACAAACAGAACAACCAAAAGGCAAAATGAGGATGAATGCCATCAAGTTTACAACCAGAGATGGCAAACACATGGAGACAACATTCAGCGAGGACACAGAAGAAATCGATAACAAAAGGGTCCTACTAGAGCCGATCACACATGACACAGAAGGCTTGGACCCACAACACGTTTCACAAGGCATGGAGAAAGAAGTACAGCAAATGAAAGACCAATCACTCTTTACAGAGGTTGATGGCAACACAATGACACCAGAACGCAAGCAAACATCAAGCAAGATGGGTTCTTAAACCAAAAACACAACGAAGTACGAGCACGAACAATAGCAAAGGGCTACACAGAACCCGTTACAGACCATGACCTACTCTTTGCAAGTGCAACACTGTTTTGCATGCTGAGGGTACTCCTTACTGTGGCACTTGTGTACAACTGGTCAATCCGTACAGGAGATGTCAGTTTTGCATTTCTACGCGCAGCAGCAATCTCATACAACTTGGTAATGAGACGCCGCACGAGTTCAACAATGAAGCAAACAGAAAAATAATGTGGCGGCAAGACCACATAGCACACATCCTCACAGTTACACTTGAACTTGTGAGATGCACAACAGAGAGCAACTTCTACAGGCCAAAGCACAGGACTGCCAGGTCTACATCATGATCTACCTCACCTTCCTATCGACACACTCTTCAGCAGGATACAAAAAGGAAGTACTGCTGAGACACACACGCGACCTCAATTGTAGACACAACAATACATTTCCTTGGCAGGAACATTTCACATAAAGGCAACTACCTCGACATAGGCTTGAACAACAGCTACGTTGACATTATCCTGGAAGAATCAGGAATGACTACATGCGACCCAAGTGTCACACATGAGAGGTACAGCAGAAGATGAAGCACCGCTCGACCAAGAACAGGAGCACAAGCAATACAGGCGGCTTGTTGGCAAGGTACAATGGCTAGCATACACACGACCAGACATCAGCTATGGAGCAAAGGAACTAGCAAGATCGGTACAAGCACCAACACAGTTTGACAACAAGAAGCTCAAACACATGATAAGGTACCTTAAAGGCACAAGGTACTTGCGACGCAGCCTGCAACCAAAATACAGATACAGGACAAGCGAACCCCACGCAACATCGACACATACACTGATGCCAACTGGGCATCACGCGCGACAACAAGAAACAGCACAACAGGATTTGTGATACACTTCTTCGGAGCAGCGACACACTTATGGAAGCAGAACACAAGCAACAATGGCACTTTCATCAGCAGAGTCAGAGCTGGTACAGCAGCACAGGAGAGCCTCTACATCAGCAACTTCATCAAGGAAGCATTTGGAGTACGCACCAACATCAGGATACACGCAGACAGCAGTGCAGCTAAATCAATCACGATGCGAGAAGGTACATCAAAGAAAGCAAACCACATTCAGCTGTGACACTCTCAACACGCACATGTACACAGTTGGCCTGTGAGGCCATCACAACAGTTTCACACCAGTAAGCACAGTAGTCAGCACAGTTTCTTAAACAACAATTGCACAGGTCACCTTCCTTGTCTACAACGAAAGTGAAAGCGCTACAACTTAGTTTCACTTAGAAATCCGGAGCCATGGTACATCTTTTCTGGGAGTTCTACAACCCCCTTACAATGGTTTTTCTGCAAGATACATGTCAAACATGGATTTGCACCCTTTTTACCTTTTACATCAGTGAGGTACATTCTTCCTGATACATCGGACCATTGGACATGCAGGCCTTGACAGCCTTGCTACATCAGATGAGCACACCGGAAGGCGATACGGCACGCACTTGTTTACATCGCTGACATCTGTGGAGGTTCAAAACATCAATTGCGTCAACGGCAAGGAGGCGTGCGACATCATGGAGTGGCACATCGAGAAGACCACAGGCCCAAACGGCGTTTTGTACATCGCTTTTACTGCAGAGGAATACAACAGTTTGAATGGTAATTACACTGGACTGCAGGCCACGAGTACATGATCTACAACACCAGTCCATTTGATGCTCTCACAACTTTGACCTACCTCTTCAGAGCACAAGATTTGCCAATAGCTTGGGGCTACAACGCCATTGTCAGCTTGTGCCACAACATGGAGGTTACAGCAGTGTCTGGAAAGAGGCCAAGAAATGCGTGAACATCATGGTTCACACCACTGCGATTTTTGGCGGCGCACATGAGTGGCACAGTCGGACAGCTGGATACAACATTTGCTTGAAACAGCAGCTGTTTTACACCTGCTCTTGACACCACGACCCACAAGGAAGTTGCACAGCTTGGTACACATGGGTTTGTATTTTTTAGGGTGGCCGGGCAGGAAGGTTTGAGTACGGGGTATGATTCGCAGGTATGATTCGCGGGTATGATTCGGGGTATGATTCGGGGGTACGATTCGCGGAAGCAGCAGCAGCAGCAGCAGTAGTAGTAGTAGCAGTTCGCAGAAGTAGTAGTACTAGTCGTAATATTGTAGTAGTAACATCAGTAGTAGTAGTAGTAGTAGTAGTAGTAGTAGTAGTAGTAGTAGTAGTAGTAACAATAGTAGTAGTAGTAGTAGTAGTAGTAGTAGTAGTAGAGGTAGTAACAGTAGAAGCAGCGACTGTAGTGGCGCGGAAGCTTGGAAAAGACTTGGCGCTGGCCTTGGCAAGGCCAGTTCATTGCGCGGGTATGATTCGGGTATGATTCGCGGGTATGATTCGGCTAGGTGCAAAACGGCACTGATTACACACTCAGAATGATGTATGTGGTAGTAGTGAGTAGTAGCAGCAGCAGCAGAAGCAGGAATAGTAGTAGTAGTAGTAGTAGTAGTAGTAGTAGTAGTAGTAGTAGTAGTAGTAGTAGTAGTACTAACTGAAGTAGTAATTGAAGTAGTAGTAGTAGTAGTAGTAGTAGTAGTAGTAGTGGTAGTAGTAGTAGTAGTAGTCAAGGTTGTGGTCGTAGTAGTAGTTGTAGCAGTAATAAAGGTAGTAGTCGTAGTAGTAGTAGTAGTCAAGGTTGTAGTCGCAGTAGTTAGTAGTAAGGGTACAGAAGCAGAAGTAGAAGCAGTAGAGTAGTAGTAGCAGCGGCAGTAGCGGTGGTAGTGGTAGTAGTACTCGTAGTCGCGGTAGTAGCAGTAGTAGTAGTAGTAGTGGTAGTAGCAGTAGTAGTACTAATTGAAGTAGTAATTGAAGTAGTAGTAGTAGTAGTAGTAGTAGTAGTAGTAGTAGTAGCAGTAGTAGTAGTAGTGGCAGTGGCAGTGGTAGTATTGGGTAGCGCTGGTGGTGGTTGTTGTGGAGACAGTGAACAACACAAAACGGTAGAAGAACAGTAGCATCTTGCAGCATACGTTTTAAGGGGTATGATTCGGGGGTATGATTCGGGGTATGATTCGGGGAGGTCCCACCTTCTGCCTTTTGAAGCAACTCAACACACCAAAAAAAGACAAACCCACATCTTTTGTGCAGTGGCAACATCCATTTTCAACATTTCAGGAGAATGTATACAACATTATCCTGAGGAGGCGTGTTAAATACTACATGCTTTCTCTAGCAGTACAATTGGGCTACATCCGCTGCCCATACATCCCAAGGCCTTGAGCCAATGTACAGACCTGCCTTAGTACAGCTACAGTAGACAGTACATCATTGCCCACAGGAAAGCAACTGCTGCGCTTCACTTGAAGCCTGAGCCTCGGTTCTGGAGATTGCCATTGAGACAACTGGCCACAACCCAAAGGACCCTTCCGCCTTTTCCGAAGGGCAACCACTGGATGAGATGTTGCTTCGTCTAACTGACCGCTGCGCTGGGCCCCGCGAGACACTTGTCGAACCCTAGGTTCTCAGAAGCTTGTGGAAGGGCGTTAAACAAGACAGTCAAGGCTTCTGAATCTCCCTCGACTCGAATCTGTCCTCAAAGGGCGTGTCAAGCGGCGACATCCTTGGCAAGGTTGAGGCAGCTATTCAAAGACATGTTGTGGGTATGCGTGAAAAGACCTGGGCTTCCTTTTCATTTCCCTTTTAAGCTACTGTACCGGACTGTACCCCTCAAAATAACGTACCCCTGTCTTGAAACAACGCCTGTTCAATTAATATCCGTCTTCCTCCAAAAGGGTGTTCCTCTTGTGTAGGCAAAATGGCAAAGTAAACCAAAAGTCAAACCAAGCAACTCCGCCCACGGGGTACTACTGAGGCCAAGTACAAGACTTACACCTTGTACTTGGCCTCAAAAGGATGCTTGAACATGGGAACTAAACGCAGCTCTCTGAACTTTCTTTGAGCCGGGCATCACAAATTGTGAAACAAGTCCAAAGGCGAATCAAACTGAAAAGCGAGCTCACCCCCGGGCGGGCGGGGGGGAAAAATATCAAGCAAGCTGAATGCGTGCGGTAGCAAACATTGTGCAACTTCCCACTTAGGGAAGGAAGCTACCTGCCAATCCCGAGCTGTGGCATAGACACAAAAGAGGCAAACTCTCGTGCCACAACCGCTCCAAAACACAGGGGACCCCAACACCCCTAGCGTGTCGCCTTAAAGGCTACAGCTCAGCTTCCAGTGTTTTTTCTTCCAACTCTTTTAGTACCTGTCTCCAGGACCCTTTCAAACAGGGGGGCTAATGACCATCGTATTTTGGGTATACGGTATACACCTTAAGACTCAAGAGTGCAGACTCCAGGTACTCTTTCGGTAAGTTGACCCCGGATTAAAGCAGAACCCGTCCTTTTTGTTCGGCCTCCAAAGTGATGCACCGCCACTAGAAAGATATTTTTCTGCTCAACCCTGTTCCCCAAGTACTTCGGTACCTTGAAAGGCATATCCAAACACATCCGAATCCTGTCAAGCGGGTCGGAAAAAAAGATCTTGGCCCATAGTAGATGCCGGGAGACGTGCGACGAATAAAACGAGTCGCCACTTTGATAAGACATGCCATATGCCATACTTGTTTGTTTTCAGGGTGTTCGCTTTCAAGGCTAGGCAGAGATGGCCCGCCAACCTACTCAGAATCGTCAGATGACCCTGACAACACTCCAAGAAGTGGAACGCAACTGCCTGGCAGTATTGCTACCAGAGGCCGGATACAGTAAATAGCAGGCAGCTAGCAGAAACTGCAAACATTAATCTGAAGAGCGATATATAGGGGTTTACTTGAAATCGACCATTTCTCTGGTTGTTCTGCGTGTGTGTGTGTGTGTGTGTTGTGTGTTGTGTGTTGTGTGTTGTGTGTTGTGTTGTGTGTTGTGTGTTGTGTGTTGTGTGTTGTGTGTGTGTGGGTGGGTGTGTGGGTGTGTGGGTGGGTGGCTGGGTGTGTGGGTGTGTGTGTGGCTATTGTTCCGTGTCTGTCGAGCCAGCATGAGTGTTTTTATGCATCACAGGTTCAGAACTCGCTGTCCAAACAAGATCGCGCTGTGGCGTCTTTCTCTACTTACTGAAGTATTGGGACCTGCATGGTGGTGGTCAAACCGACACCTGCCGGCAAGCAAACAGTCTCTTGCTTGCCGAGTTGTCATGGACAAATCCTACTTATGATGGTTGATTATGGCCCCACCGGAAAAAGACAAGGGTCCCCGTCAATCTGTTCAAAACCGATCCGAACACCCCCAACGAATTTGGGAATCGGCAAGAATAATTTTGAGAAATGGGAGAAGCGAAGCTGGACATGGGTGTGTTTCTAAATAGGAACCCCAAAAAAACGGTTGTGTGCGTTTGGTCCCTGTAAAACCAACCACAAAGGGGGTCACAACACAGGACACAACCAAACCCCATGCCCCTCTCAGATTCACGAGTAACTAGGGGAAATGTGGACCACGAGGAACACATGCCCGCTAGAAATGTCGCAAAATCACCTGGGGATCTCAGAGGGTCTTCACAAGCTTCCGCTTGATGAAGCTGACGTGCGGGACCTTTGGACACGTGAGTTTGCAATTCATGTCTAGCCACTTTTTAGTGCTCCAAAGTCTTCACTTCTGCTTGTGGGACTAATTAATTTCTCGCTTGGATTGTCCCTTCCCCTACCCGGGTTAGGATTTTTTTTTCAGGGGGCCTTCCTTTGGTTTCCCGAAAACAAAAGTAATAACAACAAGCCCGAGAAGGAACCCGCGAAGGACGAGCCATCCATGTTGACGCATGGCTACAATTGGGCGCCCGACACCCGCAGGGTTCCGGATCACAAAACGCCAGCGCTCGATTTTCGAAGGGGTCTGTCTCGTGGATAGGACAAACATCAAGCAAGCTTGTCCAAGAACTCGAGTGAGTTCAAGAAAAGGGACCGTTCCCCAAACCAGCCAACCATCTTATGCAAGTCATAATTGACAAATTCCTGAAATACTGGTTTTCTATCCCAGTTGCCACTATAGTAGGTACCATTTCTTTTGCTTTTTATATCGGCTGGGTGCCTGTACCTACAAAACCGGGTCAATGGATTCACTGGGCATGGGTGTTGCAAAGCTCTGGGCCCTTCGCGTTTTTGAGCCAGTTCAACGGGCGAGTGACGTGCGGAAGACTTCAGGGCAGTCGTGGGACACACCCGCACTCTTTCGGGAAAGGACCCCCCCAAAACAAGGAATGCGTTTATTCTCAAGGACCCACCCCAAAAAAAACAGGAAGGAACAAGTGGAATAATCTGATTTTACAGGGAACGCTGCTTCAAAACAAGACGTCATGTTTAGGGCAAGTTGAGTTTAAAGGGACACCCCTCCCCAAACAAATCGGACCTCTGGAGGTCTTCCCAACAGCAAACAGCTGGAGCTTCGGCGGAACTTCCCACTACAAACGAAGAGAAACCAAGATCAACGAAATGAACCATTTGCCCGAAGGAATTTCATGCAATTTCCAGGGGTAACCTTTTGGGGCCACTAATCATGGATCAGGAAACTCAAAGGTCAGAAATTACCGTAAAAAATCATGGTTGGGCGGCACCCTGCCGACAGCCAATCTGCGAGACAAATTAACTGGCCAGACAAAAATCGAACGCGAACCTTTTCTGATGGGTGTGCTTTTTTGGGGGATTTGTTTTTGGTGGGGACGCCACGAGGGCGTCGTGTCCCTGTGTTGACAAGATGCAAGGCATCACGTACGTTGCTTGGGGGGAGGGGGGGGGGGGGCGGGGGAGGGGCAGTAACGTTCGATGTTGACGAGATGCAAGGCATCATGTGTGTTGTTGTTTTGGGGGTGGGGGATGGGTAGTAGCGTTTCGATGTTGACGACACGCCAGGTTTGCCGAGGATCGTATTCTCGGCATTGTTAGTTTTTCAGTTTTGCTCAAACACCCTCTAAGTTCTAAGGTTCCCCGGGAAGGTTTGAGGGGCTGTTTCTCCTGGCTGGGAGGCGATTGGTCCCACAGTTTGCAGAGCATTTGATCTTGTCATTATTTGTATTTCAGCATTTGTTTGCTAAACACCCTCTTAGTTTTAGGGTCCCCGGGAAGGTTTGATGGGCTGCTTGTGCAAGCTGGAAGAAGATTGGTCTGACAGTTTGCAGAGCATCTGATCTTGTCGCTGTTGTGTATGTCAGCAGTCTTTTGCACAAACACTCTCTTAGTTTTAAGGTCCCCGGGGGTGTTTTGCGGGGGGTTCTGTTTGCTGGGAGAAACTTGGTCTTGCTGCTTGCGAGCATCTGACTCTCACCATTCTTTGTTCTTCTGCCAGAGCCGTCATGGACTTGTGAACTTGTGGAGCCGTCATAAACTGTTTATTGCAGCTTAACATGGGCGTGCGTTTGGCAAATGAGCTGTTTTCCCCTTTTTTTTGGCCACTTTGCGTTCACAAACGCACGGCGCCTGAGTGGCGTCCTTCCCTTGTGTTTCATTGATTTTAACCAGAATCAAGGGAACCCACAATTTCGGGAAGTCCCCTGATTTCAGTCAAACCCAACTGAACTCGACCACGAAACAATGACGTCTGCCAACACAGAGCAAGACAGGCAAGATATAGGAAAACAGAGCCCCTGTGCTTGACCCAGGAAAATGAATCGAAGACCCTGTGGGGAGGAAAATTAGGTGTGGCTCATGCTAACTGTCAGCTGAATTCAAAATAGTGAGCCGGCAGATACAAAAAATATGATCCATCCGTCCAAGATAGGGAGTCTGAGTCTGGAAATACAAAACCATATCCATCCTGTTGGTTTCGAAGGACCATACTCAGAGCAATCCCTTGAGAATCTATCAACGAAAAGGGCATTTGCGGAACATCCTCCCAGAGAAAAACAGCCAGCATTCCCAGTGCATCCCTTTTTTTACACGGTTTTGTAGGTAACCAAGGGAACCAGCCGATGCAAAACCAGAAGGAAAGTGGCTGCAGCGCTTGTGACCTACTCTTGCGGTACCTGGTATCTGCCGGGATTGGCTCTGGGTGAACTTTGCCGTCAGGAGCGAACTCCGAGAGGTATCCCAGAAATACCAACGGACTCGCCTCGGCAAAACAGGTACTTCAGGTAAGTGGATAGTGACCCTGGTCATAACCCACTTGGTGGACCTGCATCAAGTCATGTTGTCAGCTGCTCGTGCGGAGGCAAAAAGGTCCGCGCATGTTTGCACACCCGCGCTAAACGTGTTAAACGCGCGGGGCGCGCCCTTTGGTAGGGGCACCCTTCGCCAAGACGAAATCTTCTCCAAATGCCTAAATGAAAGCTCCTACTAAGTCTTCCTTTCCTAGCACAGTTCAACCGCTTTTTGTGTCTTTCTTTAGGGATCCCGCAAAATGGTGGATCTTATACCTTTAAAACGACACAAGGCAAGCCTCAAAACAAGACCCTGGAGAGTGAACATCGTCTTGGCTTCGGCTACGGCACTGCCAATTCCGAATTCGGGCGAATTACGCCAGCCGGCGCGGCGACGGCCTGAAACATCGAGGAGCTACGGCGCTCGAAAGACGGCGTCCCGGGCCCCGCCCAATACACGCAGATCTTTAGGGTATGTCAACCCCTGAGAAAGGAGGCACCTGCCAGGAAAAACCCTGGAGGCTGGAGGGTACATTTGGAGGGTCCTTGAGTCCTTGTTTTCGTTGACCCCGCAACCGATCGTTCTGCTTCATTCCTTTGGCTTGCACGTATGGAACCCATCCAAATGTGTTAAGGAGTCCATAAATAGAGATTCAACCTTGGTAAGTAGATGCGGCGCTGAAGGAACTGTCTGTGGTGTTGCTTGAATCGATCTGGGTGAGCAGGGCATGGGCGAAAAGGTAGATCGGACATGCGGACAATCCATCATGCCACTCCTGAAAGGGAACACTATGACTGACCTGCCCTAAAGTTGTTCTTGGCCCAAGCCCAAGGTACGCAAAAAACACCATTTTCCAGATTATGTTTATGATTCGCCAACCTTAAACTGTAACATACTATCGGAGGAGACCCAGCATTGTCTCACTTCCTGAGTGGTTGGCCGAAAAAAAAGTTTGAACTTTTTACTTACCACCGAAATGGTCTTCCCAAACAGTTTGAAGTCCAGGAACTCAGAGAGTGAGTTGCCCATGTTCGACTCAGAGTGACCGCAATTGAATTTGAAAGGCGGGGCCACCTTCCTCAGGCAGCACAAACAAACAGCCTTGCGAGGATGTGTTAAGATAAACATGAGTTGAACAAATGGACCTGGGCATTCTTTGGAGCTTGTAGAACTCACCTGCCCAAAGGGCCTGAAAAATAACTCGAAGAAAATGGTTAACCTGTTGGGACCTTAATTGAAAATGCAACACACACACACACACACGGGTCGCCTTCAAAAAAGCAGCAAAAGGAGGCTGGAAACCAACAATGCTTGGTCCACATGGATACTCCTTTAAAACAAAAACATATCTTCTGATCCTGTTCGAGATCTAACCCTAAACTGGAACATATCATTGAAGTAGACCCCAAAATGGTGCGTAAACATGGTTGACACCGGGGCTGAATCGCCCCACGGGCAAACGCTTCAATGTCCCGTTCGCCCTTCGCCTCTCCATGGGCTCATCCAGGTCCATTCGGAAGGGCGAGATGGACCTCACAAGGCGCACGAGGTCAAAACGGCGAAGATTCCCCCGAAGAGAACTGGGCTGCCCTCAGATCCCCCGCTAAAAGTTTAACTTTTAGTGGGGAAAATGGAAACTACCACTAAACACTAAAAGGCTAAAAAGCTAAGGGGATGGCTGGGAGCCACCAAGAGAAGACATGTCTCCAGGCAAGTAGATACTGGGATTCTTTTGTAGGAACCCTGTTTTTGATGCAAATGTCCCGTAGAGAGAGCTTCCTGTGGCTTTGGCTTCTATGACCCATGCCATGGCAAACTTTGTGACTCACCTGACTTTTGTGGTGGAAAATCAGAGCTCAGCCCCTAACGCATGGACCATCGACACATGGCAAAGGGACTCACTGACTCGCTTGCTCTCGAGAAGGTTGATCACCTTTTGTAGGCTCACACAAGTCCTTTGCTTCCACCAGGTCTAAGATCCTTGCGATCTGCACGCATCTCCAAAAGGTCTAAGGGGGAATTTGGTCAAAACCGAAGGCCAAACATCCAAGTAGCATACCCACTCAGCCAGTGATTCGGGGAGACCATCAGGTTTTTGCAACTCCAGTGCTTGGCTCTCCTTTTTTGATATGTCACCGGCGCGAGAAATCAATTACACCTCGAGGGGAACCCATTCAGACGTTCACAATCCGGCTGTCTTTTAATACCCCCAAACAAAAACTAGCCTCCCGTCCGCAAACATGGAACACAGCAGAGAAATGGTTACTTTTAAAGGGACATAGTCCAAACCAGGACCCCGAAACGTCGGAACGGTTCCATGGCAACAACAATTTTCTGGCCGGGCTGCGCTGTGAGTTTTCAGCTATGCCTTCTCAGTTTCCCTTCTCAAAAGCTGAGAAAAGCAAAGGACGCCCTTTGCCTGGCTGCCAAGCAACTTGGTCGGGAAGCATCACTCCCCCCCCCCAGACCCTCAGTGCATGTCCATGGGAAACAAAGGGTACCACCCGTTTTGTGGTAGATGACTTTATCTCACTTCCGATCCAGTAGATTGACCAAAGAAGTCCACATTTGTTTGTTTGCCACTAAAATAGTCTTCCCAAAAAATGGCTCAAGTCCATGAACTCAGGGAGTGAGTAAAGGGACCCCCCTCCAAAACGCGGAAACCAGGACACTGGATGCCTTGGGCTTGGGAATAAAGCGGATGCAAGGGGCAACGTTCTGCTTCAATTTGTTCCATCATTCCCTTGGGTCTGGGAGTTAGCAAAGTAACCCCAACTCAAGCCACCTGAGCCGAGCCACCCATGAAGCTGGGCTTTCAGTGAGGTCAACCTGAGGTTTTGTGCAACTTGGCACGGGTCCCACCAGCCAGGACAAGCTGAAGCCTGAAGCCTTCCGTTTCCAGTCCGCCCGAGAAAAACAAAACAAAACGACCCAGTGAATTGGGCTAAGCCATGCGCGGTGGCGAGGGAAGGGGCAGCGACAAATCGTCCTGGCAGTCGTGAACTGGAAAGGGGAAGTTCTGAGTGGTCATTGACTCCATGTTCACTTCTTCTTCTTCTTCTTCTTCTTCTTCTTCTTGAGAAAACCCTAAAAGTAAATAGCTGCACGGGTAAATGGTGTGATAATTGACCATGCCATGCCGGTCACACAAACTGCACTTGCTAGTTCCACTCGCGGCTGACCAGGTTGTGCCTTTTCAAAACAGCCAAGTATTATATTTTTTTGTCTGACTTTAGTATGGAAGTACAAGTAGAAAACTAGCAAATGATCATAGGTGTTCCATCCAAGCAACAAGTATACAAACACAAGTCTAATCCGCTTCCAGCCATGATTTGGCATTTAGAACAACTTGTTCACTGCGGCACTGTGCACTGCAACACTGCTGGATCTTTAGAATCCTGTCGCTAAATCTGGGGAGTCGGACATATCCACACAGCTAGATCACCAAGACTCAAATAGGATGAGTCAAAATTCGGGACCCCCCACACTGCAAAAGGTAGTTTCAATTGGCTGACGTAAAAAGCAGTCCCCAACACAGGGGCAACTCGTTTGAAGCACCCTGTGCAAATGATTCTTGTTTTTCACGCAGCTGAAATCAAGAATCCCCCACGCTATGCTGGTCCCGAGGTTGCAACAACTTGCTGAAGCCTCACATATCAAGGGCTGTGCCTCCCCGAATTTGACTCTCAAGCATATGCCGCGGGGCAAGACTTGTGAGAAGGGGTCAATCAACGGGTAGAAAGTTGGTCGCGAATGAAGGAAAGCCAAAGGAACAGCGACTACTCACTTGCCCTAAGTAAGGAAGCAAAAGGTTCACCTTGCGGACACCTTGACTAAAAGTACACCAAACCCAGGAAGAAAACACTTGGTCACAAGCTCGAGTTGCTTTGGGCAAGGTCTTCTCGCAGGTCCAGTGGGTTTTGCCAAAAAAGGCACCTGCTGTTGGTTGACTTCAAAGAAAAAACCATTGCCTAAAAAAAAAGAGAAGAAGAAACGGGCCAACGGAAACCAATTCTGGTTGCCACTGGGTCTGGAGGTTTGGAACACTTGAGGAAACCGCAAGATAGCTATATCCCCGAGTTGTCCATGGCTTAGCACCTTATGAACTTCTGAACTGGCAGAACTCACTTGGGGTTGTCTCAAAAAATAGGGGAAACCGACCAAATGGAGTGTTCAAAAAAGGGGAAACCGACCAAAAGGAGTGCTCTCTTTGGATGTCCCTTAACAACCGGTAACCTCCAAGAGGTGAGCGACTTGAGAGCTCTGTTCTTTTTCATGGAAAGGGCGTCTAAACGGGTCGCGAATCTGCGAAGTTTGCCTCTGTGGGACAGACAAACTGCTTGACATGGCCATCGTAACGGAAAATAACACAACCTACTTGTTTAGTGGACTGAACATCTGCGCCAGGGGCAATTCCCTAGAGGGTTGACGTCCATTGCTACCAAACCCCGGGTCGTTTGACCATGGTACCTGTTTCAGGGGGATGGATTGTTCGGGGGGAGGAAACACAACAACTCGAAAGGGCTCCCCTTGAAGACGTCCCCATATTATTATGCGTGAATCCGTTTGACGCCTGTGTTTGGCGTACCAAGAGGACATTTACACTTTTAGGCAGTTTAGATTCAATTTAGATGGACGAACATAGCAAGTCTTTATACATTTTCCCCGGTCCAACAAACCTTCCACCCAACCCTTGGCTACCTGGCCTGCTTCCCAAGGACGGCGACCCCCATTGCCCACACATTGTGTAGGTACATGAAAGCCGTTCTGTGCCAGGATCGTATACGGGTGTCTTTGATTAAAAGCTACCTGTTTTGCCTTTGGATTCAAAGGAACACCCCATGGAGCACCGCCATGTGGCCAAACGCATGTCATTTAACTTTTGTAACTTACTCACTAAAAACCGAGCAGAAGTTGTGACTCCTCTCACGAGGTCTGGCAATCTGTAGATCCAAGACGCCAACTAAATAGCACCGACGGCCAAACAAAAACCGCGCGCCTCGTCCTTCCTCGGGGTTGCCGTCCAAGCCTGGCGTTGAGCGGAAGTAAACAAAGCCCAGGTCAAACAAGCGCGTTCGAACGGGCCTAGAGGGGCAAAAACGTTCTGAGCGGAGGTCCTGACCCCAGAGGGTCCAAATAAATGCTTCGGGATGATTTGGGCGGGCGGAGTGGGCTGGGACGGAGGCGAAGTGGCGCGAGATATGGCTCCACTCAACGCTGGAAAGGCTGCTGTGGACATTCCGGAGCGGCTCACATCTCGGTGCGGGACGGAGCGGGCATGACATCGCTCTTGAAGGCGGCGCCGGAGATCCGCAAGGAGTTGATCTCTAGAGAGATCACATCTACGGGCGTCCTACATCGGCTGCTGGCGACCTACCAGGCGGGCGGACCAGGGGAGAGATCTCTCATCCTCAAGAAGCTCACGGAATCCGTCTAGACGAGGGGCTGCGCAGAAGCGGTAACGGCCTTGCGCTAACAGAGGCGGTACTATCTGCGGGCCCAGGAGATTGGGGCGTCTCTCTCGGACCCTTGCTGGCTGCAGAACTGGAGAAGGTGACGCAGTTAATCAAAAGTGGCGCTCAAGGCTTCAGGGTGGCCCAGGCGCAGTTGCAGCGATTGACCTACAGCCCCGGTTGCGGCGATCTGGAACTCTGACCTGTTGGACAGAGACAAGTCTGGATCTGCCAAGAAAGAGGGGGCAGCATCCAATTGCAGACACTTCCACAGAGAATGGCTGCAGGGCGGCAAGCTGCCCGCCGCGGGGCAGCTCGAGCCGGGAGTCGGCTCGTGGAGGTAGTGGTGATGCCATGGCTTGAGGGGGCCAGAACTGTTTAAGTTGTTTCCCTTAAAGAATTACCGAGGGGCGGTTGTTTCAACGCGTTTTGCCCCACGCCGGGTTGAGATTGCTCAATGGCCTGCACATTTTGGAGCCCAGGAATCTGTTTGGGATCGCCAACTTTGCAAGGCATTGGTCGGAAACCACAAAACAATTCGCCAAACTGCAAATCTTTCGACGGTGTCTGGACCTGATTTTGTGGGATGGATTCGGAGCGAGCTCCCTGATCGGGAGCGAGTGCCAAGCAAGGAAACTGCAAATCCCCGTTCGGGTCCCGTTATTTGCAACTTGTTCAGTGAACTGATGGACAAAATCGAAACACTTTTCTTTGGGGTGGGGGAGTGGTGTGACTATCTGTAGTGGGGAAGCAGCAAAAGGGGATTCGGAGAATGGAATCCACTGAACAACTGGAGACCCAATAGAGCAACTTGCCAGGGTTCACCTTTCGCCGCCCCTTGACCCACTGGCAAGTGAATTGATTTAGACACCTACCTGTCCACATGTGTTTAACCGGGCGCACCCCCAAGAATGGTTGGTTGTCCCGTTGGTTTCCCTTGCAACCAATCCCAAAAGTAACTAGAACTTTTGCCTAACCAAGCAATGAAAACCACACACCTGTCTTTAAACCGCCTTGGGGATCGAAAGGACGGACCCGCCGATGGATCCTCTCCCAAAACAAACCACACATACTTAGTTGAGTTGACTGGCAAAGAGCAACCAACAACAACAACAACAACAACAACAACAACAACAACAACAACAACAACAACAACAACAACAACAACAACAACAACAACAACAACAACAACAACAACAACAACAACAACAACAACAACAACAACAACAACAACAACAACAACAACAACAACAACAACAACAACAACAACAACAACAACAACAACAACAACAACAACAACAACAACAACAACAACAACAACAACAACAACAACAACAACAACAACAACAACAACAACAACAACAACAACAACAACAACAACAACAACAACAACAACAACAACAACAACAACAACAACAACAACAACAACAACAACAACAACAACAACAACAACAACAACAACAACAACAACAACAACAACAACAACAACAACAACAACAACAACAGCAACAACAACAACAACAACAACAACAACAACAACAACAACAACAACAACAACAACAACAACAACAACAACAACAACAACAACACCACAACAACAACAACACCAACAACATCAACAACAGCAACCACAACCAACAACCAACAACCAACAACCAACAACCAACCAACCAACAACCAACAACCAACAACCAACAACCAACAAACAACAACAACCAACAACACAACAACCAACAACACAACAACACCAACAACCAACAACCAACAACAACACAACAACAACAACAACAACAACAACAACAACAACAACAACAACAACAACAACAACAACAACAACAACAACAACAACAACAACAACAACCAACAACCAACAGCAACAGCAACAGCAACAGCACAGCAACCAGCACCAACAACACCAACAACACCAACAAGACCAACAAGACCAACAAGACCAACAAGACCAACAAGACCAACAACCAACAACCAACAAGACCAACAAGACCAACAAGACCAACAAGACCAACAAGACCAACAAGACCAACAAGACCAACAAGACCAACAAGACCAACAAGACCAACAAGACCAACAAGACCAACAAGACCAACAAGACCAACAAGACCAACAACAACAACAACAACAACAACAACAACAACAACAACAACAACAACAACAACAACCAACAACAACAACAACAACAACAACAACAACAACAACAACAACAACAACAACAACAACAACAACAGCACAGCAACAGCAACAGCACAGCAACAACAACAACAACAACAACAACAACAACAACAACAACAACAACAACAACAACAACAACAACAACCGCAACCAACAACCAAACACCAACAACCAACAACCAACAACCAGCACTAACAACCAACAACCAACAACCAACAACCGCGACTCTTCTGGGTTCGGCCCGCCCCCCGCAGCTGCGAAGGCGGACCGGTTCAGTGTCACACGTGGGAATGAGGAAGGAACACGCTTGCCCTATCTACATGATGTATCCGAAGTAT